AAAGTTACAAAAAGTTGCAAAAAAACAGAATAAAAAAAAACCCAAACAAACCAACCAGTACTAAGAGGTCTTACATCACCTACCTTCCCTTAATGCTTACATCAGAGAAAACTACAGTACAATATTAAAATCAGGAAAGTGACATTGGTACAATATGAATTTTTACTTATCACTTTATCATGTTTAAATTCCTTCAATAATATCACAATCAAGATATAGAAACATCTCATTATCACAAAAAATACTACTCCTTTATAGAAATCAACCATGCCCTCCCACCTTCAATATCTATAAGCCTTGGCAACTGATCTTGAACTCTGAAATTTTGACATTTCAATAATGCTGTATAAATTAAATCATACAGTATGTAACTTTTTGATACTGTCTCCCCACCAAGGTTTAATGTCCTGGAAATTAACTCAAGTTGCTATATGTATTGCTATATGATACTCTTTTCTACTGAGTATCATTTCTGGTATGGTTATACCACTGTTTATTTAATCACTCTTCTACTGCAGGATATTTTGGTTATTTTAGCTGTTACAAATAAAGTTGATATGAACACTTACATAAGTTTGTTTATGTGGAAATAAGTATTCATTTCTATAGAATAAAGGGCCAGGCACACAACTACTAAATCATATGGTTAAGAAACAGCCGGAGCCAAGGATTTAGCTTAGTGGTTCTGCTGCCTGCCTCACAAGCTCAAGGACCCAAGTTTGATCCCTGGTACCAAAAAAGAAAAAAAAAGAAAGAAACAGCCAGAATATTTTCTAGAGTGGCTATATCATTTTATATTCTCAATATCAACAGATAAGGCTATCTAGTTTCTCTGCATTCTCACTAAAATATGGAGTTGCCATTTTTTGTTTTTACTTTAGCTATTCTAATAGACAAAAAGTAATGGCAACTCATCAATTTCTTAATTTGCATTCTCCTTACCGTTAGTGATGTTTCATCTTTTCATTTATTATCTGCTATTTGTATATTCTCTTTGGTGAAATGTCTGCTTTTTTCCATTTTTTAATTGGATTGTTTGCTTTCTAACTGCTGAGGAGTTCTTTATACAGGCAAGATGTAATTTCCTTGTCAGATATGTGGTATGCAAATATTTTCTCCAACTCTGTAGCTTACCTATTTATCCTCTGAACAGGGTCATTCTCAGAGCAAAAGTTCTTAAGTTTTGTTTTTTTTTGGTAGCACTGGGGATGGAACTCAGGACTTTGCATTGCCGGGCAGGAACAGTGTCACTAAGCTAAATCCCCAGTCCTACAAGTTCTTAACTTTAATGAAGCCCATTTTATCAATTTTTTAAAGTGGATTGTGGGTTTAGTGTCACATCTAAGAACTTTTGTAATGTGTTGATGTGTCAATGTTAATTACTTGATTTTGCTAGTTATACAAATTATAAAAAGCATGTTTCAACTATGAAACTACATAAATACATAAAATGTCTCAGTGTAATGAAATTAACAATTTCAAAAGGAGCACAAGCTCAGATTGTATGTGAATACAGGAAGAAAAATTAACTTTGTTTAATTAATTTAGGTAATCTCCATGATGGCTGTGTAACAGGCAATATAATTCTTGGGTCACAAACAGTGACAAAGTGAATTTCAGCACCTTAATCTTACATATATGGACATTCCATATGTTCAAAGGTAAACTGCATTGTGTCCCTTCCCCACTGGATTCTGTAGTTATGCCAACACAGTAAATATGACAGAACACTGGGTTAGCTTAATTTACACTAAGTTCCTGGCCAAAAGTCCACTTGACTCCATCAACTTCACTATCTCTATTAATTTAATGAACTGTTTGTCAAATACCAATTTTGTTTGATTATAGAATTGAATCTGGCCACAAAACAAAATAACTATAAGTTACATCTATGTTTGCTTTAGATCATAAAATTTATAAAATATATGAATCAGAACTTAAAATTGTAGGTATTACCTGTAGTTGATTTTTATTATCTTTCATCTACCAATTGTTCTTCCAGCTAAACTCAGATTATTTTAGTATAGCAAAAACACAATGAATTAAAATCTGTAACCTTAATGACTAAATTTCTGGTTACTAAGAGATAAGCAGCAACTAAAAAGAATATGGATTAAAAAATTCAAATCCTGGCATTAACCAAAGTTTGTTATGACCAGAAAAAAAGGAAGTGTTATGTATATGAAATCATGGAAAAAATATCCCATGGAATCTAATAAGTCAGTAATTGCTGGCATCAGTCAAGAGCTAATAATAAGGAATGGCTGCATGTCGAATTTCTTCCACAAACCTAAATATTTTAAGAAATGAATCATGGAATGGAACTAATACGAGAAAATTAAAATATGGAAACAAAGTTTTTGTAAATATAGAGAGGTGGAGGGGAGAAAGGGGGGCAGAGGAATGGGGAAAAATTAAGCATCAAGATATATTATGTAAAGGTACAAATATCTGATGATGAATGTCATTATATTGTATACCTGAAATGTACCAATAAAATTAAAAAAAGAAATGAACCAAAAGTACCTAAAGACCTACATTAGCATTACTTTTGCCTCTTCCCCCATGCCAACACTCCTTCAAAAACAAAAAGCCAAAAACTGTCTATGCCAATGAAATTTTTCATCTGATCGCAAGATTTCAGCCATTTTATAGAAAAAGCTTAATGATAACAAACTTACTGACCATCCACATCTTTATCAAACTAAATGGCAGTCCCAGAATTGAATTCAATAAACACTCCATATATTTACTACGTGCTGGACAAGAGCTAAAAAAAAAACTCTTTCCCTGCTTTTAGTCAATTTAGTTTAATAAAAAATAAGAAGCATTAATAAGAAAAACAAAAGAAATATCTCCAGTATTAACAACATGAAGAAATCAGAGCTGTGGCTGGGTGTGGTGACGCATGTTTGTAATCCCAGAACTCTGGAGGCCAGGACAAGAGAATTTTAAATTTAAGACCAACAGAGGCAACCTTAGCAACTCAGCCAGTGTCTCAAAATAGACAACAAAAAAGGCTGGGGATATAGCTTAGTAGTAATACCCTGAGTTCAATCTCTATTCCCCCTGCCTCCCCCCAACAAACACACACAAGGAAAGAAGGAAAGAAAGAAAAAGTCAGAACTCTGAAATAATGGGAAATAGCTTTGCAAATTTCTTATATGTACATGTGTATACATGTGCACACACAACCAGTTTCTTGTAAACACAGAAAAACTAAATGTTACTGTTTCGACACCCAGTTGACAGTTCTATCACTTCACATCCATTAGTATACAATGGTACCTCAGTTCATGAACTTAATTCATTCCATGATTCTGGAATGGCCAAGGCTGTGTTTGTCATGTGATGCAGAGTTCCCCAACAAAAACAGAATTTTGCAAAATGCTTCTGTTTGTGAGTCAAACCATCAAACAAACAAACAGGCAAAAGCATTCATGAACTGAGGTACCACTGAAATTACTATTTTTAAATAAGATGTATAGTATTGCTGGGGATTTAGTGCAGTGGTTCCATCGCCTGCCTGGCAAGCGCGAGGACCCGAGTTCAATACCCGGTACCAAAAAAAAAAAAAAAAAAAAAAAAAAAGATGTATAGTAGTCACTGTATCTTGACCAATACCTAACCAATACTCTGCTGTTAAATGCTTATGCTTAATTTTTTTTAATTCAGGGGCGGTGGTAGTAAGCAAACAATGCCAGCTAAAGTGATTAACTTGTAAAGCTAATCAAGATGTTCCTTACAGTCAGGTAAGAAATTCATCTCCCCCTCCTCCAGCCATCCTCTCTCTCCCTCGGACTTACAGAAACAAAGCTTAATGTTTTCATATTGTATCTGCACCCTTGTACTGTCTAGGCTTTAATATTACTTTTACCAACCAAGTTTGAAGTATCTCTTCTGATTTTAATCTGTCCACTCTAAAACAAAATCCTACCCAATATTTCTACATAACTTTCTGAAGCAAAATATAATTAATCTCCCTGCTTGAAAACTATCAAATTTCAATTATTAAGAGAATAAATAACATCCAATCTATTATTTAATAAGTTGGATATTCAGTTTGGAATGGCCACTAATGCACCTCCCAATCTTAGCCACTACTTTCTTTCAAAAATCTTTCAGTGAAATCCTAATACAGTACTCAGTTCTCTGAATAGCATTCAACTTTCACTCTATTACATACACCATTCTTTCATCTAAAACGCATATCAAAGAACACATAAATTTGAAGGGGACCTTGGGAATATCCAAGTCTACTCATCTTAAATTATAAATTGTATCACTTACCCAAGAGGCCACAAAACTCCCAGTGTAACATTCTTTTCATTGAACAGTGGTTCACAACAACCACGTGTGCCAACAACTAAGCCAGTGAACACTAAAAACATAAGATTGCCAAAACCCATCCTCAAGCATTTTTCTCTAGTAATTCAGGTTAGGACCAGAACTCACTTTTGGGGGGCAGTGCTGGGGACTGAACACAAGGCCTTACTATATGCTGGGTCAGCACTCTATCACTTAGCTCCATCCCCAGTCCTTTAGAGACAAACCGCCCAAGCTGGCCTCAAACTTGCAATCTTGCCTCAGCCTTTTGAGTAACCGGGATTACAGTGTGCACCACATATTCGGGTCAGAATTCTCATTTTTAATAAGCACTTCTGGTAATTTTAAAGCAAGGGGTCAAAGGTTTAGCTAGCAGGAAATCACATGAAATAGTGACTATTATACTAAGGATGCAGTCTTTGCTGAACATGGTGGTACACATCTATAATCCCAAGAAAGGGCTAAGGCGGGAGGATTCCAAGTTGAAGGTTAACCTGGGTAACTTAGTGACACCCTATCTCAAAATAAAAAATATAAAATGAACTAGGGGTGTGTGAAGGCCCTGAGTTCAATGCTCAGAAGGGAAAGAAAGAAAAAGTAGCTTTCTAGTACTTAGCATATCATCTGAAAATTTCCTTTGCTGTCCAATAATGTAACCTCCAAAAGTTACTCACTGCTACTTGCGCCGAATCCATAAATCTCAGACCAAAATAGTCACTTTCAATAAGGTCCAGATGGTACATAATCTGATCAAACAGTTCTTGTCCTTTGGCTTTTTTCTGAAATGGCAAGAAAATAAGTTAATTAGTAAGTGGTTTAGAGGACCAAGAATCCTGAAACAACAAGATCTCTTAAAATACTACTTGCCATACCGAAAGTATTACCATGTTGTAGATGATGGGTAAGATAATGTAATTTTAGAAAATACTTTTCATGAAAATATGTCACTTATACTAAATATACAGGGCATGTTAATGCTATTTTAAATTAATCAAGAGCTAACTTTTAAAAATTTTGGGGCTATGAATTTAGCTCAGTGGTGCTGCCACCTGCCTCACAAGTGCAAGGACCCAAGTCCAATCTCCCATACCAAAAAAAAATTCTAGTAAGTTAAATAACAACAGATATAAACCCATAGAGCAAAAGCATTGTTGGGATACTTAGTCTTCATATATACACTATCCATGTATCTCCCACTTAAATAATTTTAAATTGTGACTTAAGATATCTCCTATGAAGAAAATATTTTTACATTATCAATCTACACCTTTTAACTGTCCATTGATCTCCCTACACCCAGTCCCCATCATGTTTTTCAGACATAGTTTCTGCTATGGTTTAGATCAAGGGTCCCCAAATCACTCATGCACTCAGAAGTGGGGTTTTTGGAAGGTGACTGAACCACTGAAGCCCTGCCATGAATGAGTTCTGAGTGGAAAGTGCTATCAGGAGGTGGGGCCTGATTGGAAGTGGATCACTGAGGGCGTGGCCTGGGAGGGTGACTCTCCCTCGCTGGTGGCTCACTTTTCTCTATGCTTCCTGGCCTCACTGATGTGAGCAGCCTTCCTTCTGTGTGCTGTTAATGTCTTCAAGCCTGCAGACCACAGACTGAAAATTCCAAAACTGCATGACAAAATAAACCTTCCCTTAAAGTTGTGGGTGCTGGGTATTTGCTTCAGTGACAAGAAAGTGACTAAGACAGTTCCTCTACTTCAATATTCTAATACGAAAAAAAAAATTTACTGCTATCTTCTTGCTGTCCATACTGTTGCAAAGTGCAATGTCAACTTGAGTTTTGTTCCTTTGTAATGTCATTTGTTCACATTTCAAATTTGCTTTTTTTTTTTTTTTACTGGTTATCGAACTGTTTTTTTCATTCTCTATTTCTGATAGTCTTAAACTTCACTGTTCTGTATACAGATGTGGGTTTTTCTTTACATGGTATTCTATCTGGACATTTTCGATCTGAAACCTGTCATCTTTCTTAAAGTTTCTTTTTTTTTTTTGGTACCGGGAATCATACTTTGGTCCTTACACTTGTGAGGCAGGCAGCAGAACCACTAAGCTAAATCCCCCGCCCTCTCAAAAGTTTGGAGAAAGTATTTCCTCAACCACTTCTCTTATTTTAAACTTCTTACCTATGTGTACTGGCAATGCCACCTTAAGCATTCATTTGTACTATACTGGTGACTATGGCATATACATCTCCATCCTGACAGTGATAAACGTTAAGCAAGGTTCAGTAATATGACAAAGATAGCTGAAAGAGATGACAAGTTTGACTGAATTTTGCTTTGACCATTTCCCAAATTTAAACTCCCTGTGGGTTTTACACTACCATCTAGACTTTACTTGGAATGTCTCTTCTCTGATCATTAAAATTAGATACTCCCAGCTTCTTATCATAACCTCCTCTCTTCTAGTTTATTCATAAATTTCTTGAACATATAATAATTGTTTAACTTTCTGAAGAGATACCAAAGTGTTTTCTATTTGGGTATGCATGTGCCTGTGTGTGCTCGAAACTGAACACAGGGCCTTGTGCATGCTAAGCACACATTCTACTACTGAGCTACATTATATTCAGCCTCTACAACAGTTTACATTCCCAACTGTGCACAAGAGTTCCAATGTTTTCCTATCTTCACCAACACTTGTTTTCCTAAACAAATGCCTGTCATGGTGGCATATGTCTGTAATTCCAGTACTCTGAGAGACTGAGGTGAGAGGAATACAAGTTCAAGGCCAGCCTGGGCAATTTAGCATGATCATGTCTCAAAATAAAAAAGGGATGGAAATGAAGTTCAGTGGGAAGGCCCACGGTTCAATTCCCAGAACTTCAAATAACAATAATGGCCATTATAATAGGTGTCTCATTGTGGCTTTGACTTGTATTTCTCCAATGATGAGCAAGGTCAAAGTCATTAAGGAGTTCTGGTACTGGGGTTTATGTGTAATGATACCAACTGCAGCTGGCTTAAGGGCTAGTTTAAGCCTTGTGTAGCTTTGGAGGGACAATGGGAGGAAAAGATAATTTGAACGTAGGTTTTGTCTTCCTGCTTTTACATCCACTGTTTTATTGATAATTAGGACCTATACCCCCTGACACAAGGATGCAATAGCAATGACAGACAAGAGGATGCAGGCACTGCCTAAAATGTTCCTACCTCTAGATTTCCTCATCACTGAAATTCCATCACCTAAATTCTCTATCCCTCTTTTACCTAACAGAAAAGGGGAGTGAATCCTTAATCTCAGATTTATGAATGGGTAGTGCTTTAACTATTTGTTTGGTTCTTGGGGCTCTTCTTGGTAGGACTCCCCTCACCATGTCCCTAACCTTGCAGAACTAGCTACATGTAACTGTTAGAGATGAGGGTTATGCTATCTCATTGGGTGTAATCCAAAGAAGGTAACCCACATTCCCAAATGAAAATGCACAAAATGAGAAAAATGAGACTATCATCTCAAAAGTCAAAAGACAGCAAACCACATTATAGGTAACGCTAGAAGCAAAGGCAAATAAAGTAAAAAGAAAACCCTAACATATTTTCTAAAAGATATAGGAATATTGACAATATGAAAATACAGAAACTGAACAGGACCCAGTGGAAATATTAATTATGAAAAGTATAATGAAGAGTTGGGTGAGGTGGCACATGCCTGTAATCCCAACATGTGAGAGGCTGAGGCAGGAGGATCTTCACAAGTTCAAGGTCAGCCTGGGCTACACAGTGAGTTCAAGGACAGCCTGAACTACAGAGTGAGACCCCTTATCAAAATAAAAGTATAATAAAATAAAGAATATAGTATATGTGATAAAATATAGATGAATTAAGGTTAAGGGAAATTAGTGAGTTGAAAGATGGTATTTAGGAACCTTTCCTATTGGAGGAAAGAAAAGACAAAATAGGAAGCATGAAAGAAAAATTTAAAAATAACAAGTGCTAAAAACAAAACAAAACAAACAAAAAAAAACCAAGTGCTTTTCCCCCTAGATCAGAAGCATGACAAGGATGCCTGGTTTTGCCACTTCTTTTCAACATAGTATTGAAGTTCTGGCCACAGAAATTAGGCAGGGGAAAAAAAAGGCATCCAAATTGGAAGAAAAATAAAATTCTGTCCAAAATGATATGATATTATGTAGAAACTCTAATGGTTCCCAAAACAAAAAACCCTGTTGGCATTAATAAATGAATTCAACAATATTCCAAGGAAAATCAAGAAACAAAAAAAATCAGCTGTATTTCTATTCATGAGCAGTGAATAATCCGTAAATGAAATTTAGGAAACAACTCAATTCACAATAGCATCAAGGTGACTAAAACACTTAGGAATAAACTAAACTAAGGAGCATAAGAAGACTTACACTCTGAAAACTATAAAATATTGCTTAGAAAGGAAACAATCATTTCTAAACTATAGCAAGAAGTCACACAAGTCTACTGAATTCAATTATCTGGCATTAAATTCACATGGTTTCATTATCTTAATTCTAAAGTGCATTTCTAGATTCAATTCACATTCCAGCAATATTCCACTTTTACTTAAAAGACTAGGAAGAAGTACAAATTAAAAAGTAATTCTCCTCCTTATTCAGACAAACTGTCATTCCTAAACCTCTTAAATGACAGTTGTGTTCTAAAGAGTATGGGCCTGTGCCAGGTAGACAGCAGTCTCCTCAGAACAAAATCTTTTCAAGATCATATATATAACCCTCCTTAAGAGGCAATTCTAGGGCTGGGGATTTAGCTCAGGGGTTTGGTGGCCTACCTTGCAAGCGCAAGGACCCGAGTTCAATCCCCGGTACCAAAAAAAAAA